TTCAGCATTTTCTCTGAGTTGTCTTTTTAGATAAGGGGTATGAATCCTTTGTACTGTAGACATTTCATTTTGCTGAAAAATTGTTTAGATGGCTCAAGTTTAATGTTTTAGGTTTCATGATTTATTCAAGTTTTTCAGGTATTGAACTTTCTTTAAACTTGTATTTATTTATTTTAATTTTAATATGTTTTCAAAGATTAAAAGAGTGATGAATGATATCTACAGCTAAACCAAAAGCAGGCTATAATCATATATTGCTTTCTTTTTAAGCACATTTTCTGCCTTTTTTACACTCATCTTCACTTTTTGTGTTGTTTTCTTGCCTTGTTTATGAATCAGTTTGGACATTTAAACCAGTTTAGGTTTGTGACTGGTTTAAATTAACCGAGGAGAAAGCGATATAGCCTGACATTCTACAAATACAATAAATTCAAGTTTCAGCTCAATTTCTTGCAACTTAAACTTTTTTTATAACATTAATAAAAATCATACTTGGCAGTGCCAATGGCATTTTTAATACAGAAGCAAATCCAACAACCACAACCTTTCAGAGCCTTCTGACAGTTTTATAAAGTTGAACCTGCATCAGCATCACCAGTCAGAGTGGATTCTGTCTCGTTTCTGGGGCATCAAAAAATAATCTTATAAGCCTGATATGCATTAGAGAGTCCCCATGCAAAGTAGCAACTAAAAGATTCATGTGTATTACCACTACAACATTTGCTCGATCCAACAACACTTCAAAGCAAATATCAGATGTAAAATAGGTCAGATTTTTTTCTCCCGCTAATCATTTCCCATCAGAGACAGCTGTTCTCTCTGCTCAAGTTGGAGTGGGCACCTGGGTGCACACAGCTTCAGGGCAGAGCCTACTGATGCTTAGTGTCATAGCTCTATCTAGCCAGAGGCGAGGAAGAGGGTGTCTGATATTCACAAATTCCTACAATCTTTAAAAAAAGAACCACAATAATAGCTTCAAGAGCAAGGAAGCTCCAAGCATGTGGTCCGGTCAGAATTTTTCATTTAAAAGATTAGATCCTCCCAAATCACCCAATGTATAGAACTATGGGACTCGATGAGAGATGTACTGAACATATTAGAGTTAAAAACCAAAACGTTTGATGAATGAGAGTCCTTTTTGATGATATTTAATGTTTTGATATTTATCAGGTTTCTCTCTGCAAAATATCACATATACGTGCAAACTCTTGTTTAATCTCTTCCTTCCTGAGTGGTTTGCCTCTTAAAATGACACACATCACATTCAGTCACACTCACAGCAATTCGCACAGACACAGACCTAAATGCTTCTCCTTTCTGCACACTTCAGAAAAATTAAACTCAACACAATTTGACCACTTTGACTCAGTGTGTGCCCTGATATAGCTCACTTTTTGCTCACTTTTTCTTTCTTTAGAAACCTTTGCTCAGTGAAACAAAATCTGTAATCAGCTTAGTTGTGTTGATGCATCAGACATTGTTAATCAGCGGTATTGAAAAGAGAGCAGCTCAGCACTAAGACGCCTGGCATGTGCAGAGCACTGAAAGTAGAAAACAGAGGGATGAAGCAAGAGGGGTATATTTGTCTTTTTATCTATCTATCGGAAAAATTATAGAGTTGAGGAACTTCAAAACCTTTCAAACGGTTTAAAACAGATTAAAAAAGAATCTGAAAGAAAGTGTAAAAAAGGTCGCAGAAGAACATTAAAATTAATTAAATTTATCTAAGTTGCCAGTAGACATGACTGGAAAAACATAAATGTTAAAGCTAGCATGAATTATGTTGTAAACATTTTTGGTTGCTTCTTTATTCATTTTCACTCGAGTAAAGAAAAAAAAATAGTTCTTTCTAAATCCCTACCGCTTATTTAGAATTTTTATCACATATAAAAAAAATATACCCCTTTGAAGTATAGAGACTGAAGGGCGACTCAAACTGATACTTCTTTGAATTTTAATGCAGCTGGACGTGAGGACTACTGCAAGAAAACTGAAAATATCTAGCTTTAATTGATATAGCTCTTACTGTAAATAATTCATCATCATTCTATATACCATAGACCTTTAAAAGTATTAAAATGTAACATTTTCGTCTTCCAGACACAAATCAACTTATAATAATTTCACTTATTGGGCCAAAGCTGGCTTTCATAAAGCAAATTTAAGCCTGGTCAAAGGCAATAGAATGGGCTGTACTTATAGTCTGCAGCCAATGATGGAACTAGTAAGGCCTAACCTTTCTACTACAACGCAATCTCAGAAACACCTGAGGGAGGTTAAGGACATTTATTCTGAACTGGCAGCATTCTAGGAAGTCATCATTCATGTAGCGTTGTCAAAATATAAAGTCTTGTTGGTGTTTGCCGTGGCAGTAATCCCTAAACACAGTGTTAGAGACTTTAGGTGAAGGGAGCTATCAGACCAAAAGTAAAGAATCCTAAAAATATTAAAGTACTGTCAGACAAAAATTAGGTTTTAGCAATTGTTAAAGATTTGTGGTATGTCTATAGTACAAGACTTTCACTCAAACCCAAAGAAATCCCAGCCATTATTTGATACACTCTTTATACACTGTCTATTTTGAGGTTTTCCCACTTGCAAAGCATGTAGAAGTCCTCAATTTTTATCATGGGTACTCTTCAACTGTGAGTGATGGAATCTAAAAATCACACAATATGATTTTCTGTATTTTTGTTGATCACCTAACGACTAGTAAGAATCCTGGCTCTCACAGGCCTGTTAGTTCTTCTTTAAAAAGCCCTCCTGTTCTCCACTCATTACCTGTATTAACTGCAGCTGTTTGAACCTGTTATCTGTATAAATGAAACCTGTCCACACACTTAAACAAACTCCAACCTCTCCATAATGGCTTAGATCAGAGAGCTGTGTAAGGATATCAGGAATAAAATAGTAGACCTGAACAAGGCTGGGGCTCCAAGCAAGATCTCACTTTGTGGGGCATCAATGATCATGAGAAAGGTGAGGGATCAGCCCAGAACTACACGGCAGTACCTGAAGAGAGCTGGGACCACAGTCTCAAAGAAGACCATTAGTAACACACTAAGGATTAAAATCCTGCAGCGCACACAAGGTCCCCCTGCTCATGCCAGTGCATGTCCAGGCCCATCTGAAGTTAGCCAATGACCATCTGGATGATCCAGAGGAAGAATGGGAGAAGGCCAATTGGTCTGATGAGACAAAAAGAGCTATTTGGTCTAATCTCCACTTGCCGTGTTTTGAGGAAGAAGAAGGATGAGTACAACTCAGTGGTGGATGCTGGTCTTTCAAGGAGGGGAAGCTCAATTTCAAGATCACTGATTCGCTCATTTCGATTCAGCCTCAGGGATTCAGCCTCAGACAGATCATCCAATCATCATGCAGAAGCTGAGCGTCCGGGCTAGCCAAGACTACCCCATAGACCCTCAGAGACGCTGAGCGTCCGATGGGCGGGACAAAGCCCAGCATTTATCCAATGACTTGTCTCGTTTCGCTGCAGCCGAGGCTGCCCCATAGACTCCCAGAGACGCTGAGCGTCCGATGGGCGGGAGAAAGCCCAACATTTTTGCTTCGCTATTGAACTCACTGTTTAAAGCACTGTGAAGCTGCGGGAATGAGTGAGAGGAAAGCCGCGTCGTTACCAGTGATAAGAAGCTGATTCTGAACAAAAGTTAAGCGCGTTGTAGCGCATATTTAGTCAGTGACATGTACACACAACAGCATATATTTGATCCCTTATTTTTTGACATTTTAGGGGAAGCTGAGCTTCCCTTGCAGTCTTAGAGCAATCACCAATGGTACAACTCCAAGACCTCATGCCTACCATGAAGCATGGAGGTGAAAAAATGATTCTTTGGGGATGCTTTTCTGCAAAAGCGACAGGAAAACTGTACCATATTGAGGGGAGGATGGATCAAAGGCATCGAAGATGGGTCATGGCTGGGTCTTCCAGCATGACAACGTGCCGAAGCACACAGCCAGGGCAACTAAGGAGTAGTTCCGTAAGAAGCATCTCAAGGTCCTGGAGTGGCCTAGCCAGTCTCCCGACCTGAACACAATCAAAAATCTTTGTAGGGAGCTGAAAGTCGGTATTTCCCAGCAACAGCCCCGAAACCTGGAGGATCTGGAGAAGATCTATATGCAGGAGTGGTCCAAAATCCCTGCTGGAGTGTGTGCAAACCTCGTCAAGAGCTACAGGAAACGTCTGACATCTGTAATTCTAAACAAAGGTTTCTCTACCAAATATAAAATTTTGTTTTTCTGATGTATCAAATACTCATGTCATGCAATAAACTGCAAATTAATTACTTAAAAATCGAACAATGTGATTTTCTGGGTCTTTGTTTTAGATTCCGTCACAGTTGAAGAGTCCCTATGATAAAAATTAAAGACTTCTACATGCTTTGCAGCTGGGAAAACCTGCAAAATTGTTAGTGTATCAAATACTTGTTCTCCCCACTGGAAGTGGGGAAATTAAACCATCATTCTTCTAATTTAGAGGTTAGATAAAACCTCTTGAGCCAAACTTTGGACATGCACCTGAGATGTAAGGAATACTTGAGAGAATCCTCTCAACTGAAATGCCCTTCATAATGGATATAGAAAATGGGGAATTAGGGAGGATAATCTTGCTTTTTGAATAGCCTTCAGTTGCCTAAGTACTAATAATCTGTGGTAGCTTGGTCTTCTTATGTTCGTGTTTTTGCTGGGGTGAGTTGGTTGCCATTCTCGATAACGGTTGACTGGAGGTTACACTCAGTGCGGTTTGAGTAAGTGACGAGGATTCTCGTCCCTTTTTTTAAAACGAGAGGTTAGAAGAGTTTCTTATACCTCAAAGGAAATCACACTAAATCTCTGTACGTTTGTTTTTGCAAGAATGGTAGAAAGTACAGTTTTGTCAATTCACTGAGTTAGGGTGGATAATGTAGCTTTCTTTCCTATAGTGGAATTCTGGAAAAGTACTTTACACCTTCAAAAATATTTGAGAGTTCGCCTAACCGGGCTGCATGGTGGCGCAGTTGGTAGCACTGTGGCCTCGCAGCAAGAAGATCCTGGGTTCGATTCCCGGCCGGGGGTCTTTCTGCATGGAGTTTGCATGTTCTCCCCGTGCATGCGTGGGTTCTCACCGGGTACTCCGGCTGCCTCCCACAGTCCAAAGACATGCCTGTTAGGTTAATTGGTCACTCTAAATTGCCCATAGGTGTGTGCATGGTTGTTTGTGTGTTGCCCTGCGATGGACTGGCGACCTGTCCAGGGTATACCTCTCCTCTTGCCCATAGACTGCTGGAGATAGGCACCAGCTCCCCCGCGACCCACTATGGAATAAGCGGTAGAAAATGACTGACTGAGTTCGCCTAACCAATTATTGTCTTTCTTTTTTTAGTCGTACGAGATTTATGTCATACTATTTGTCTTGTCTTGTGGAGGGTGCTGCAGGAGTGAAGTATATTAGGTTCCTGCATAGCCAAAGTAAAAGATTGTCTTGCATTGCCAGGCTTGGGTTTTTTCGGGGTATTGGAGCTATCAGTGCTCCCCTTTTTAACAAATTGTATACATACTCATTATGGACACATTGTTTTCATGCAGCCAGGGACTGATAGCTTTCCATTTCACGTGGCCTTGGTCTTTGGGATTAAAAATCCTTATTTTCTACACGGAGGTATGGTTTGAAATAAAGTCTGGATGTTAACAAGAAATATTTTGGAAATATAGCTGCACTGATGAGGCTTTCCCTGGCTGATATCAATTTCCAATTTTCTGACCTACTAATTCTGATTCTGGTTGATTCAGTTTTTCTCTATGGACTATAACACATGAACTTACAACAAAAAAAAGAGGTACAATGGACATATAAGACCTTTTTCTGTACCATTTTGCAATGTAAGTCAGTGAGTGACAGGTGGCCTGCCAATAACACGACACGGTTCACTTACGCTACGCAGCCAATCATAGCATTGACAATGCTTGAGTATGTGCCCTGTCCATATGCACCGTGCAGGTTAGCTCGGTTAACAGTGCGGTGGAGTTAAGAGACGCAAGCGCTAACCAACTTATAATGGCGAAACGAATGGACAGTGACACATCCACTTACCAAGCCCAAGTAAAAAATAAATGCAGTTCTTTTGAAATGGAATGGATGTCGGAATATGTGCAAACACAAGACCAAACTTTGAAACTGGAGAAGATTTTTTTTCTTTTTTTAAGGGGGTTTAGGTCTGCTCTGCAAAGCATGCAGTGAAACCAAAGTTGCAAGCAAGTTTTCAGAGGGATAATGTGAACTCATTGGAAGTTGGACTACCTCAAGCGTCACATTATTTGAAAGCTGTTGGAATTGTACAAAGACTCAATATGGGAAAGGGGATTGGTACATTACTGCGGGAGGGCGCATTTTAAGAGGGCCAAATCATTTAAAAGTAAACTAATGGAAATCGCAGTTGTAATTAGATTTTTTAATAAGCCATGAAACTTGCTATGATTCCAGGTTTTGAACAGGTGTGATACTGATGTGTGGCCACAGCGTGCATATCTGATGTTGCTCACAATGGTCCTCAGTGTGCTCGGAAAGCTTGTGTGTATGAAAACATGAAAAATTAGAGGGAACATTGGCTGCAATAATTCATGTGTGCAGACCTTAACAAAGTTACAAAATGTATTTCGCATTTGCTTTTACATATATTATTTGTCTTTTCTGCCCCAAAACAGGAAACTATACAGTTTGTTTAAAAAAAAATCTGAGCATTTTCAAATTTTTTTTGAGTATCACTTTTATATTTCTTTGCCTGGAGTCACCAGTGGACTGATGAAAGCAAGCAAGTTCATGTACCCCTCAGTTATGAAATCTGTTCTCATTTTATAAACTCAGCAGTCTTTCATTGCTGTCTTTGTACATTTATGTTTTCTTTTTCTTTTATTGGCACGAAGATATTTGTGTTTATGCATATTTTTTTACTCTGTAAAACAACTGATGTTCCTTCTATTTCAACCTTTCAATCATTTGTCTGTGAACACTGATCACACCCTCCCTCTTTTTTTCCAAACTTTCAGCATCTGAACCAAAACCAGTTCCTTTTAAATGATTTTCACGACCCATCATCATCTTTCCTTTCTTCCTCTCTGAAATCTACATTTTTAATGCTTCCTGTTTCTGTGGAGCTGTTTGGAATGGCCTCTTCCTGATTGCCTGTCTCTTTTGAATGATGGGGCTATTTGTCTCAACTGACAATGGAGGTCAAGGTTGATTTCTGCTATGCTGTGGTGTTGAATGGGATTTTCCCGTTAACTTTAAGAGATGTCTGAAATTTATCTTACCATTCAACTACCCAATTGTAGTCTTTTTAAGTGGCCATGTCAGTTGCGAGTGTCACAATAGAGCCAGTCAAAATTATTACAAAACAATATATAATAAATTACACAGAAGATTGCTGAGTAAATCTAAAAGCTATAGTTTAATGTTTTGTGAAAACTGTGAGCTGTTTTGGCATCGGAATAAGATTTTTCAAGTTAAGCTGACCTTGAGTAAAATACCACACATTCGTGGTATCATGATGTTAACCAAAACATTTTAAACAAAAATGAATGTGATCTAATTACCTCCAGTTGGAACAAAAATGTAACAACTATTTTTATGAATGCTAAAGAAAATAATCCAAAATATTATTTATTATAATAAAATAATGTTATCCATCCATCCATCCATCCATCCATCCATCCATCCAAACGTCATCCAATTTTTCATCCTACATCAGCTAAAAGATTTTGATACTGCCTGGTTTTGTTTTATTTCAAACGTTTATTTAGTTACGTTCTAACATTATAAAAATAATTGAAAAAACAACACAATTAGTAACAACTAATTACAATCAAATTGTACAAAAAAAAAAACAAAATCAAAAACAAAAAACAAAACCACACACACAAAAGCGAGAGGATTTAGTCCTTTATAATAACCGCGTAGGACCAGCTGATACTACCTGGTTAATTGTAGTACAATGCACTCAGGTAACCAGTCTGCAATTAGCTTTTTAACAGACATACTGCTCATAGCCTGCAAACTGTAGTCATAAAACCTTTACTGACTTTTATGAGTTAGAAATTGATCTGTGTAATGAAATTTATTCAATTTTAGATCCATCACACATTAGCATGGACATGCACAAATGAAACAAAAGAAATGAACCAGCAATTTGCAACTCACTTTGGGAAGGGTGGGCCATTGCAACTGTACTGTGTAGCACTGTACAAATATGCACACAAACATTTACTCTCAGGGTACTTTCACTAACTAATTCATAAACATTTGAAATATGCTCTGGCAAGTATAGGCTGGAACAGATTCCAACAACAGCCCAGGTGACAAACTGAAATAGAAGGTAAGCCAGCTAGCACAACCTGTTGTCTTCAAATCTTTACTTGCTGGTGTTTTCCTTTACCACCAGTGAAGTGACAGCCAAGAAAGTTTAGTTTCTTATCATCCTTCTTATATTATAATGGATGTGTGGTCATGATGGTTATCGTGATTCTTTTACCTCTGGATATGGATTCTCACATTGGTTGCCAGTACTTATAAACTTGGTATTTCAATATCTGCTCTCATGCTGCACCTTGAATCTGTACCATTTGACCTATACATTATCCACTCTTTTCTTCAGGTTCAGTCCAAATACATTTAAACATATTTGGGCTGATCAAACTGATTTTGATTTATTCAAACCACATTCATGAATTTGTTGATTGTTCAGAAATACCACTGGTTTTCAATGAGAATCTGAGCAAGGTTTGAAATGTGGGCTGGTCTTTTTTACCATTGAGTTTCTTCATACCGGTTGTGGAGTTTTCTAAGCTCAGTTGCTGCAACTGTGCTTAGTGGTACAATGACTTGATTGCACCTCTGTTATCACTGTATGTGCTGCTGATGATTCTTTTCATTTTTTTTTTTATTGGAAGCAATGTCACAGGCAGCAATTTGACAATACTTTGTAGCCGAGTGGACTTCCAATTTCTTGTCCCTTCTACAATCCCACCCAAAAGTAAGAATTCGGAATTCACAATGTATGTATGACAATAAAATGTGGCCAAAGAACATAAAAAATATATATATGTGTGTATGTTGTTATGATTCTGGCCCGTCTGCCTGCTCTGCTCTCACTCATGCAATTAACTCATCTGCTTCACCTGTCTGCTGCTGCGCTGCTGCGCAATCACCGTCATGCCACAGACCTGTGGAGCTGCAGTTATATACAGCCCTCTGACAGGCAGACGGTGCCAGATTTTCGAAAACATTTGTGAGTAGTTATCCAGCGTTCCTTCCTGACTGATCTCGTTCCATGACCTTGCCTTGCCTTACGGATTATTCCCTCTTGCTTGCTCCTTGTCTGACGGATTGGATTTTGGATTTCGAGTCTGTTTTCTGCCTCTGGTTTATGTCTCTGCCTGCCCCTTGTCTGACGCCTCTAGCCCTGGAATTCGACCCTGTTTCTGTCCCTGGATTTACGTCTCAGCCTAACCACTGGTTTATTCAGCCTGAGTTCGCCTGGCTCTCTAGTCTGCCTGGATTTATTGTCAAGAGGACAATCACAGCTCTCTGTGTTCCTGTCACAGTGTCAGCTGGTTCCCCGGAGGATTTGGATCAGTCGGCAATCCGACTTCAGTCTGTTGGACGCTTCCTCATTAACTGTCTGGATCTCTTCCTCCTCTGGATTCTGTGCCTCATCACCAGACTGAGAAGGTTAGTGGCTTTATCTAACTCCTTGCAGATCCTGAGTTTTATTCAGCCACTAACTAGTCTCTCTGTTCTCAGTGGTTCCTAGAAGCTGACTGCTGTTTTTTCTGCTCTCTGATCCTGAGTTTCTGAATAAACCTTTTTACTTATCACTTTGTGTTTGGCTGAATTTGGATTCTCTGTCTCTGGTCGTGATAGTAAAATCTGGCCAAAAGATGGACCCATCGCCAGCACAGCAGTGGCGCACTAATGTTGATCACTCTATTGCCCGTCTTAATTCCGGCTTGGGGGAAGTGATTTCTATGCTGCGATCCATGACTCCTGCTTCCATGCCAGCGTCCTCACAGCCTGTTTCCCCCAGAGTTCCT